TGCATTGGCAATATTTTTTTAGAATTCACTGTATGAGATTTAGTTATGGGATTTAGTATAAGATAACTTTTGCTAGCGAAATAAAACTAAATTTTTATTAATATTAACAGTTTTGCTTCATATATGCACATCGTAGTACAATGGAATACAAATAACGTTTATAATGCCGATGTATAAAGGGCACTTGAATCAACAATTGCTGTTGCAATTAAATTGTCATGGTCGTAAAGCGTGCACATTCGACGTAAGATGTGACTGCAGTCTGTGTTTGTATTTGAACCTCCTGCCGCAAAGAACGCAGCTGAATTTGGGCTCTTTGCCGCATAATCGTAGATGGGTGTACATTGAAGATTTGTGGGCGTAGATCTTGCCGCAAAGTCTGCACGGGAACACTACGGTCATGGCTCGATCACCTGAAAGACAGATTATAAATAGTGCGTGTGTATATTCTAGAGTGTTCTATGATTAATCTTCACGTCGATTTCTCTCATACATTCGGCGACGAAAAAATAATACATAAATTCAACAATTAGAATTTGCGATCTAAGAGTCTTTCTAACATCATTTAATTATTTGATTAATCTAGAATCCACGCAAATTTTATCGCAATTAATAGAAAAGTTAGTACATCTTATAACCTTATTGCTAACAAGTTTTGCAGTTAATATGAAAATCTTACAATAAAAAACATATTTTCTATATATAAAACAAATATAACACATGAAACTTATTTATACGTAAAAATATTTTTATTTTCATCATTATTATTATTGTAGAAAACGTATACTATCATAATTGTCATAGTAATTCCATAATAATCCATTATTGAAACACAATTTTAATGTAGTAAGTACATTTCTATTCTCTATGTTTTGTAAATGCTTTATAATGATATTTCATTCTACTAATATATCACAAGAAAACGCATTTTACAATATTGTGATAGAACAAAAAGTAAATAACAATATATATAAAAAAATAATATATTATTACAATACTTTATATATATTTAAAATTTTCTTTTTATAATTAATTTTTTTAATTTATAGAATTTCTTTCATAAATTTTGGAAGAGGTTTGAAAATTCACAGAAATGATAAAATCCTTATATCTTGATTTTTCTTCAGTTTAATTTATAATTTTCAAGATAAAAAAATTTATTGAGGATTTGATATAAACGATATTGTTTAATAATAACAAATTTTGAACATCGTAGGTTTTCTTGCATAAATTTGATTGGGATAATCATATTGTTAAGTATGATTAAACAATTAATTTGAATATTGTGAGTATATAATACATACGCACTTAGAGTACTTTCTCATTTCAATTTTCTAATTTATAAAAATAATTAATATTTATAACGAAAAATGATTAATGTTTATAAAGAAAAAATATCAAGAACTTGGGGAAAACGCAAATATCTTAATAAAAGTCCTACACCCAGCTCCATATCGGTAAGCTATGCGATATTTTAAGCTTGGTTGAGAAACAACTCCGCAGTGCACAGCATCATGTCAAAGAGTTAAAGAGATTATTTAAAAACTTTATTTAAAAACTGTTACTGTCAATAAACTAAAACTTGCAGAATTATTTTGTTTAAAACGGATTAATAAAAAAATGTTATAAAATAAAGGAGTTAAGAAATTCTCCCCCCTTTTTTTCTTTTCCTTTCTTGATTTTGATGTTTTAATTCATTATTGCAATAAAAAGGGATAAATAAATGAACACGGACTTGATTTCATTTCTTTATTAGGAAACTTTTATCATTATGTATCCAGGAACGATCACCACAAAATTTTTACGAATTCCAAATAAATTTATAAAAAATTATGAAAAAAATGAAAAAGAGTGGGTCCTAGTTATTTCAATTAACAGAGTCCGACCGAAATAATTTCTTTAAATTTCAGTCGAAATCGAAACTTTTATAAGAATCCTAGAAAGACCATATGTTGCACGCACATATATCGAAGTTTGAAGAAAAAAATTGTTTTATGTCAAATTTAGTCGATCAAGATAAATATAAACTGTTGTAATATTTCAAGTTATCACTTTTGATGAATTATTGATGGATTTGTTATAATTTTATAAAATATATAGTCGTCATAATTAAAAAAAGGCGATATTTTTAAGGGTTGTGAAACGAAAATGATAAAAATGACATTTGATCATATTTCGAAGAATACATCCTTTGCCAATATTTTGAAGTAAAAGAACGGATATTATCTTAACGATAATAAAATTTCAAAACATAAGATAGTTTAAACAATATTAAGAATCTTTAGATAGTTTTTTTGGAGGATCTCATTTGCCTACAAATTGTTTGCCTACATCACTTTTGTCAACAGTTCACTTGCGCACTAAAGTTATTGCCTACAGCTCACATTTGCCTATAACATGCACTTTTGCACACAAGTAAAAATTTCAGAAACGGAGTCACATTTGCTTACATGTATTGTTACCTACAGCTCGATTGTCTACAAGCACTTTGTGCACAAATAAAAATTTTAGAGACGAAATTACATTTGCCTACATGTATTATTGCTTACAAACACTTTTGCGTACAAATATAAAATTAAGATTAAGTTAAGTAAGAAAATAATTTGTATTTTTAAAGCAGAGAATTCATATTTTAAAGTAGAGAATTTGTTTTAAAACAGAAAATTCGTGTTTTTAAAGCAGAAAATTTGTGTTTTAAAACAGAATTTGTGTTTTAAAAGCAGAGAAAAGTACATGTAGGTAATCAAACTGTAGGTAGACAATTAATCGAGCTGTAAGCAATGTTACGTCCTATGTGGACTACATGATTTTTTTCTTTCGTGGAAGATTGATCGTCGTCACTCATATATCAATTACGAAACGTAACTAGTTACTACTGTTGAACTTACAATTTACTGAACTTTGAATAAGTATATCTCCGAAAGAAAAAATCGCTTTAAGATGGTTCAAAATGAATTTTGAACGGTCATATAGTAATAAATGATACCGTTGATGGATTTAACAACAAAAATTTTCTTAATTTTTAATTTAATTTAAAATATGATTGAAAACGGCTTTTTTGGCAGTTTTAGGATATCTCGAAATCTTGATAGAGCAATTCTGCAGCCGGATTCGGATTCAGCGCAAAAAATTACGTAAGAAAAAAAGAGTAAAAGAAAAGAAAAATAAAAGAGCAGAAATAAGTGACTCACTTTTCCCGATGAAGTCCCTCGAAATAAATGTTGCCGTCCCTGGTACTTGAAACCGCCTCGAAAAGTGGCTTGAAGTGGACGTTGGGCAGAAATAGGATCGTTGCACTATCACTCGAACGTGATTACTTTTTTTTTACTGATGACGTCACTGATATTGTCACTGCTACTGATGCTAATGATGGTATTACCAAAAACTAATTGCTCTCGGCTCGCGAGATCGCGGTTTATATAGGACTATCTTTGGGGATGGGTCCTTATGGGATGTATTAGCCTGACTGATTAAAGTTTTTGATTGGCGGGATTTGTCCCCTGGAGGGTACTGACGTTCTCTTTTGTTTAAAAATTTTTACATCGACGAGATTGGTTGGTGGGATTGATTTATCATCCGTCCCGTTTCTTACATCGGATTCGTCAGTTTTGGATAGTGTCGCCAAGGATAGTGAGTGGCTAGAGTAAACTTTGATTGTCTCGTGTGAAACTTATCGTTAGATTCGTGGTCTCTTCTAGAACTATATCTAGAAAGATCGTCACCAGTTACAAACCCACGGTATTGGATGATGATAAACAAATTCCTCTTCGAATCTCAAAAGTTTAATTTATGATTTTAAAACTTCCGCAGCAATTTGATATCTAGTCTTTGTTCAATTAGTATTGGTCACCGGTATTCTGTTTTAACTCCAAGGGTGTGGAGTTACTACTAGGAATCGATTCATTTATTTATTCGTTTATTAAAAGAGAAATCCACTACGATCCTTTATCTTGAACGGACCGTGGTCTCTACGTCTGAAATTTTATCGTCTCCTAATCTCCGTGGTCGACATTTTGATATGTGATGAAAAACAAGGGGTTAGATTACCCTTTGACTTTCTCCATAAACAGTCTAGCGACTGTTGATAACTAGTTATGTTTCGTAATTGATATACGAGTGACGACGATCAATCTTCCACGAAAGAAAAGAATCGTGGAGTCCACAGGACGTAACATTGCCTAAAATTACTACAGCGCTCGATTAATTGTCTACATGTATTATTACTTACAGTTTGATAATCTACATGTACTTTTCTCTGCTTTGAAAACACATTCTGTTTTAAAACACAGATTTTCTGCTTTAAAACAAATTCTCTGCTTTAAAATATAAATTCTCAGCTTTAAAAATACAAATTATTTTCTTACTTAACATCTTAATTTTATATTTGTGTGCAAAAGTGTTTGCAGGCAATCAATCTGTAGGCAATAATACATATAGGCAAATGTGACTTCGTCTCTAAAATTTTTATTTGTGCGCAAAAGTGCTTGTAGACAATCGAGTTGTAAGCAATAATACATGTAGGCAAATGTAGGCAAATGTAACTTCGTTCCTGAAATTTTTACTTGTACACAAAATTAAGTGCAATCGAGCTGTAGGCAATAATTTTTGTGTGCAAATGACAATCGATTGGTCTGTTTTCTGTTTCTGCACTAGACTGCACTAGAACTCTCTTTCTCGCTTTCGACAAATATCAAACGTATATTTATCTCACTTTAAGTTCCAAAAATGTACACTAGTTCAACCACAGAAAACAAAGCTAATTTATAGGCAAAAGGAGCTAACTCGTTTTTTTAGCATTTATGCCTAAAGCAAAAATTTATAACTTTATCAGTTCGGCTGCGCGCGCGCGCGCGCATCGCCGAAACTCTCTTTCAATTTCAGTCGAAATCAAAACCTAATCAAAACTTTGACTTTTAGCCAAAGTGACTATAACTGAAACTGAAATCAAATTAGTAGCGATTTTAAGATAGAATCTTAAGGTAGTACTAGCGCGACAATACCGTCCAAAAGTTTAGTCCCGTTGCGGCACTCGGTGGCGATACCTCACTCCCGCCAGAGAGAGAAAACTTTCGATTGTTCCTGTCCAAGGCTGCACGCACACGCGGAAAGAAAATGAATGCAGGTATACGCAGCAAACGTCGATGCTGTCAGATGTTCGCTGGCCATATCCTCCACTCCCCACTACTCCCTTCAATTGCCGCCATATACCAAAGAAAATCGAAATATTGCGTTCTTTTCACAGCTCTATTTTCCTAACTAAATGGTTAAAAATTATAACCTTTTTTTACAATATCCGTTTCATGTTCCTTCATAGCGTGTTCGTTTGTTGTAACAATCATAAGAATGGTATGGATGCTATAATTAAAAATCTGACGTTAACTTGAGTTGCGTATATGCTTCATATGTTAAACTGCATACTTGAATTGTAATTATCTCAGAAACTAGACGGTCAATATGTTTCTAATTGCACACAAACATACACTGAAAAAAAAGATTGGCTG